ATCTTTTTTTTGTGGAGGAAAATCTTGAGAGCTTGAAATTTTCTGACCTACTCTTTCCAGAATCCTCTCCCCAAAGATCTTTCTTCATGACAGCATCTCCTTCAATGTTTCTCCATCAGTAAAATGGGAACCATAATAATGTGACACTCTTCCTCTAAGGAATGCTCTCAAGTGTTTTTAACAGAAATGAGTAGATTGGCCAACATGACAAAACAGGAAAATGATAAAGGTTGGAGAAGATGTGGGAAAATTGGAACACTAATGCATTGTTAGTGGAGTTGTGAACTGATCCAACCATTTTGGAGAGCAATTTGGAATTATACCCAAAGGGCTATAAAAATGTGCATACCCTTTGATCCAGCAATAGCACTTCTAAGGCTATATCCCAAAGATAATGGGAAAAGGACCCACACATACAAAAATATTTATAGCAGTTCTTTTTTGTGGTGGCAAAGAATAAGAAATTGAGAGGATGTCTACCAATTGGGGAATGGCTGAACAAGTTGTGGTATATGAATGTAATGGAATACTATTGTGCTATAAGAAATGATGAGCAGGTGGACTTTAGAAAAACCTGGAAAGACTTGTATGGTCTGATGCTGAGTGAAGTGAGCAGAACCAGAAGAATGTTGTACACGGTAACACTGTGCGGTGATTAACTTTGATAGACTTAGCCCTTCTCAGCAATGCAAGGATCTAAAACATCTTCAAAAGTCTCATGATAGAAAATGCTGTCCAAAAAAAGGGCTACGGAGTTTGAAAGCAGATCAAAGCATACTATTTGCTATTTTTTCTTCAGTTTTGTTTTGTTTTCTTTTTCTTGTGGTTCCTCCTATTGGTTTTAATTCTTCCTTACAACATGACAAATGTGAAAATATGTTTAATAGGAAGGTACACGTGTAACCTATATCAGATTGCATGCCATCTTGGGGAGGAAGGTGGGGAAGGAAGGGGAGAAAAATTTAAAACTCAAAAGCTTATGGAAGTGATTGTTGATAAATCAAACTAAATTAATAAAAAAAATAGAAATGGGTACTGTATTTTGTCAAAAGCTTTTTCAGCCTCTGTTGAGATAATCATATGATTCCTGTTGGTTTCGTTACTGGTATGGTCAATTATCTTGATAATTTTCCTAATACTGAACCAATTCTGCATTCCTGGTATAAATCCCACCTGGTCATAGTATATAATCCTTGTGATATATTGCTGTAATCACCTTGTAAGTATTTTGTTCAAAATTTTTGATTTGATATTCATTAGGGAAATTGGTCTATAATTTTTTTTTCCTCTGTTTTAACTCTTTCTGGCTTAGGTATCAGTACCATATTTGTGTCATAAAAGGAATTAGCCTATTTTTCCAAACAGTTTATGCAGGACTGGAATTAATTGTTTGATAGAATTCTCTTGTTAACCCAGCTGGCCCTCGGGATTTTTTCTTAGGGAGCTCATTAATGGCTTGTTCAATTGTTTTTTCTAAAATGGGGTTATTTAAGCATTCTATTTCCTGATCTGTCAATCTAGGTAAGTTATATTTTTGTAAGTATTCATCAATTTTGCTCAGATTGTCAGATTTATTGGCATATAATTGGGCAAAATATTTCCTAATAATTGCTTTAATTTCTTCTTCATTGGTGGTGATTTCACCCTTTTCGGTTTTGATACTGGAGATTTGATTTTCTTCTTTCTTTTTTTAAAAATCAAATTAACCAATGGCTTATCTATCTTGTAGGTTTTTTCATAAAGCCAGCTCCTCATTTTATTTATTAGTTCAACAGTTTTTTTTTTCCTTTCAATTTTATTAATCTCACCTTTGGTTTTCAGGATTTCCAATTTGGTGCTCAATTGGGGATTTTAAATTCGTTCTTTTTCTAGCTTAGTTGCAAGCGCAATTAACCGATCTGCTCTTTCTCTATTTTGTTGATGTAAGAATTTAGAAAGATAAAATTTCCCCAAAGTACTGCTTTGGCTGCATCCCACAAATTTTTGCATGTTGTCTCATTGTCATTCTCTTTAATGAAATGATTTTTTTCTATGATTTGTTCTCTGACCCACTTATTCTTTAGGATTAGTTTCCAAATAATTTTTAATCCATCTTTCCACTGCCTGTTGTTGAATGTAATTTTTTATTGCATTATGCTCCAAAAATAATACATCTACATTTGATTTTGAGGTTTTTATGCCATAATAGATGGTCAATTTTGTGTAGGTGCTATGCGCTGCTGAGAAAAAGGTATATTCCTTTCTGTTGCTATTCAGTTTTCTCCAAAGGTCTGTAATATCTAACTTTTCTAATATTCTATTCACCTCCTTAGTTTCTTTTTTGTTTCTTTTTTGGTTGGATTTCTCAAGTTCTGAAAAGGGACAGTTCAGGTCCCCCACTAGTATAGTTTTGCTATCTATTTCTTCCTGTAACTCACTTAACTTCTCTTTTAAGAATTTGGATGCTATACCACTTGGTGCATATATATTTAGTAATGATATTACTTCATTGTCTATGGTGCCTTTTAGCAGGATGTAGTTTCCTTCCTTATCTCCTTTATTTAGGTCTATTTTTGCTTTTCCTTTGTATGAGATCAGGACTGCTACCCCTGCTTTTTTAACTTCAGCTGAAGCACAATATATTCTACTCTAGCCTTTTACCTTCACCCTGTGTGTGAGGGGTTCTAACTTTTGAGGAGTTGTTTTCCTCAGTTAATTTTTGTACTTCCTTTTCCATTTGGCCAAATGTACTTTTTTTTCACCAAATGTACTTTTTAAGGAGTTGTTTTCTTCAGTGGATTTTTGTATCTCCTTTTCCATTTGGCCAATTTTACTTTTTAAGTAGTTGCTTTCTTTTTCCAAGCTATTGACTCTTTTTTCTTGCATGACTCATTTCTTTTTCCAATTTTTCTTCTATCTCTCTTATATTTTTTAAAGATTCCCTTTTGACCTGTCCCGTGAGTTCTTTCTGGGCTTCAGACCACTTCCGGTTTGGTTTGGAGCTTTGCCCATGGGTGTTTTGACATGGTCATCCTCTCCTGAGTTTGCGTCTTAATCTTCTCCGTCACCATAATAACTTTCTATGGTCAGATTCTTATTGTTGTTGTTGTTTGCTCATCTTTTTTGGCCTTTATCTTTGCTGAAGAAAAAAAGGAAGGCAAATGTCAGCCCCTGCCCTCAAGGAGCTCACAGTCTAATGGGGGACAAAACACAAACATCTATGTACAAACAGCTACAGACAGGATAAACTGAAGAAAACAACAGCAGAAAGCACTATGGAGGAAAGGCTTTAGTTGAAGGAAGCTAGAGAAGTCAGGAGACAGAGGACATTCCAGACACAAGGACAATCAGTGAAAATGCCCAGAGCTGGGCAATGGAATGTCTTGTCTGAGGAACAGCCAGGAAGTCAGTGACCCCGGATCAAAGAGGATATGTCTGGGAATAAGGTATAAGAAAACAGAAAATGTCAAAGGGACCCAGGTCATGAAGGCCTTTCAGCACCAAAAGCACTGCATGCCAGGCTGACCAAGTATTCCATGAAATTATTTCCTGTTGCTCTGGACACGAAGTAGTATCCATTCCAACAACACATTTTTTTCACATTCTTCCCAGGAACAAGAACTATCCTTCCATTACCCTGTGACTGCCCTCTGCCTTCTGCCTTCATTGATAATGTGAATGTCAAGACAGGTATTAGTTCCCCCAGGAGTATGGCTACTCATTGGTCACTGGACAAGGCCTCAGTGAACGTTGATCAATGGTCTGAACGCTATGTCATCATTCTTAGCCACTTTTCTTCCACTGCAATAGACGTGAAAGAAGACTGTGGGCCATCTGTCACTCGCATTTCTCTGACCCAGAATGTGGCGATGAGCCTCTCTGAATCCAGCTAGAGTGTCCTTAGGAAGCAGGCGCAATCTGTGGCGGAGACCCAATTCAGAGTTTTCCCAGCACCTGCCTATGCTTCCACTTGGCTGGCATAGCCGATGAGATATAAAGTCCCCAGTGAGTTCACTAAAGACAAGAGTTGCAATTCCAAATGAACACACAGACTTTCCAACGAAATTCATGCATTAATTGATCGAAAGTAACTCGCCCTCCACTAATCCTCCCACCTCCTTCAATGCTGTAGGGTGATGGGTGTGGCCCTCACTTCTTGGCACACTTGCAGATGGATCCCAAGCTCCGGCAGGCCCCACCCAGCAGGAATTTCTCTTGTTGTTCTAGTCCTGGGGCCAAGAGAAGTAAAGGGGGGAGAGATGAAGTTCTTTGACCACTGTCCCTGAGAAAGAGCAGGGTGGGACAGCTGCAGTACGTGTCACCGGAGGACACAACGAAGGTAGGGTGTCTGACAGAGGCAGCCTGCAGCCAATGACTAGGTGTGAGTTTGACGCTTGCCACTGGCTCTTCTGCTGCCAAACACCGTGAACTGACAAGATCCCTTGGGCTTGGTTTTGCCATTGGTAAAATGAGGGAGCTGGCTCCAATCTCCCTTTCCCCTTTGAATGTTACAATTGCAGGCCCTCTCCTCAACAAGGACATGCAAACTTGAAGGACCTTCCCCACAAGCTGGTGGTGAGGAGAAAGCTTTCTAAGCTACAGAAGGGTGGAGGTGGCAGGCATTACTATCATATGCACACAGAGAGTACCTGAGAAGACACCCACTGGCCTCTGACCCCAGCTCTTTGTTCCCCCCACTGGTAAATGCACTGGAAACATTGGCCCCTGTGGCACTGAAGCAATGGTCCTTCAGGGCCAGGAAGCAGAAGGGGAAGGAACCAGGCAGCCACAGGAAGGACCCACTCTTACTAGTGATACAATGTGGTGGAGCGGTTAGTGCTGGACTTCAGGAAGACACAGGTTTGATACCAACCTTTCATACAGCAGGCACTTAATAAACGCTTGTTGGCTTGGCCTGGCCTGAATTCCTAGTTTTATGATCCTGGCTTGGGTAAGCACAATCCTCCCCTTCCCCCCAGCAGAAAGGGTACGCACACACGCACACACAACCCCCAGCTCACCATTGTGCAACCTGCACCATCCTTCTCTTGAAGGTTCTCTGCCACTAGGTCCAAGAAGAACTTCAGGCTTGGGGCTTGGGGGGTCAGCCTACAAGGAGCAGAATTCAGACGTTAGAACCACACGAGAAATAGTGAAGCAGCAGTCATCCAAGCTGTCTGGCATTGGTCAAAGACAGAGAGGCACATTAACAGGACAGACCAGGCAAGAGGGAGTCAGGAGCACAGACAGAGCGCAATAAAGCCAGCGTGCCAAACTGCAGAAAACATGACTTTCATGGCAAAGAGCTCCCTGAATGCCGGGGGAAATACTGGGAAGCAGCCTAGCAGAAACTAGGCTGAGACCAACACCAGGGGTCATAGTCCACAACGCACAGAAATGGACACGTGATCTTAATATGAAAGACGATGCTACAAATGTTAAAAGAGAAGCAAATCACGTGACTGCCACACAGATAGGAGCAGGAGATGGATTCTTTACAAAAGAAGGCTTACAGACAATTAGAAATGAAAACATGTAACAGAGATTAGATAAAACTGAAAAGAGTCTGCACAAACAAAATCAATGCAGCTATTATAAGTAGGGAAGCAGTTAAATAAGGAGGGAAAATCTTTTTATCAAATTTCTCAGATAAGGGGTGTGATCCAAAATATACAGACAACTAATTTATGCACACACGAATGATAAAAAGTCATTCTCCAATAAATACATGGTTGAGGGCTAACTATTAACAATAATGTGAAAGAACGTCACTCATAATAAGAGAAAAGCCTGGCCTCGAGAACAGGTAGAGAGGGGAGAGGTCCACGGGCATGAGATACTGCACATATTTCTGCACTTTTCCCACATACAGACTTGTTTTGCTGATTTTTTTCCTTAAAAATGTCACTCATTATATGAGATGGCTCTCTGAGAGGAAAAATACTGGGACAAATTCTGGTGGTAATGCAAAGAACAATAGCTACCAATAAAAAATATTTTTAAATCACCTAGAGCGCCTCTTGCAGTCCCAGTGGACCAGGGCCTTCTGGGTTGGTCCCTGACAGCAGAACCCCAAGGTCGTTGGGGCTGCAGTGGATCTAGTTTCATGTACACCCCCTGTTCAAAGCCGTCCCTTATCCCTGGCCAGGACTCCCCTCTGGTTCTCTTTGCTTGTCTTGTTTAAAGAAAATAGAGCATGGCAATGAAAATCCAAACTGACTGCAGCAGTAAATCAGTGCCTGCTAGAAGGAATCATGGGGGTGGAAGATCAGAAGGAGATGGAAGCTGAGGTATAAAATTACAAGGACGGGCAAACTTGGGGGTAATGGGAACTTTGTGAAAGGCTAAGGAATTGTAACAGGTCACCCCGGGGCTCTTCTCCTCAGCTCATAAGCTCCAACTAGAGGACTTCCTGCCCTTCACTGACTGAGCCCAGAGTCTCATCTGGCCAGGACACACAACTTTTAATTTTCATTCCTACCGCACACTAAGGAGAGGAGTGCCAGGGTTCAAGGATTATAGCCCCATTCTGCATATCAGAGACACATCTCTGCTAATAACACAGCTGGAAACTATTGAAGCCAGGATGCCAGCCCAGGTCTGACACCCTCTCCACTAAAACATGCTGCCTGGAAGCTGAAAGCAAAAGCCCTGCTCCCTAGCAGGCTCTGAGGTGGCCGAAAGAATAAGGACTCTGGAGTTGGAGGGTCAGATTTTGAACCCCACCTCTGACCTTGACTACCTGTGAGACCTTGGGACAGTCACCTAACTTCTTTGGACCTCAGTTTCTTTCCTTGTAAAACGAGGGGTTTAGACTCGGAGGGCTCTTCTAGCTCTAGATCTGGAGTCCTATTAAATGCATCTGTTGAACTGAATAGAAATGAGACAAAAAATAATGTTCAACCAAACTCGAGTCAAGGAATCGAAACTCACAGCAGAGGAAGAGTGTGACTACAGTCTGAAAAAACCCAAGGCGATGGCCTAAATATCAGGATCCTGAGTCCCACCCTCAACACTGTCATTTACTAACTGTCAGGAACTGGGTTGGATTTCATCTCCCCAGACCTCAGGTGCCCCCTCTGTGCCATGGGGATCCTAACCTACCTACTACCCATGGCAGAGTGGGCAGTGTGGCACTTGGTGATTCTACCTGCTTTAATCTTCTGAGCCCCAATTTTCTCATCTGTAAAGTGGGATTCACTATGTCCATTAGACCCACCTCACAGAGTTAAATGTGAGGCTCCAAGGAGATTAGAGTATCCAAGATGTCAACCAGCATAAGCTCCTCATTCTACAGAGAGTGTACTTAAAGCATTTTGCAAACTTTAAAGTGATGAACGTCAGTTCTCATCACCACCAACGCTGAGTGGCCATCAGTAAGGCCTTCAGTGTGCCTCAAGGCACGATGGAAATGTGAATTAGTGCTATTATAATAAAGATGTATAGGAAAGCCCTCCATACTCGACATAAAAGAATACCTTCATAGGACTAGGAAAGGTTCAAATGTGATAACAGATCTAAATTTAGTCAATTGTGAACTGCTATATAAGGCAGGATTTTTTTTAGATGAATATTTGTAACATGAATTGGGTGTGATTATATTATTGTCCAAGTGAGCTAGAAAGAAAAAATGGGTTGGGTAAAAATAATTTTTAAAACTGCCTGTGTTGAGCATATTAAAATAATTCCATGTCAAGCAGCAAAGTGAAAAATTAGAGAATATTAAAGCAAAGGCACTTTAAAAGCCCTATTTCCCTGAACAATATTTAGGTGGCTAACACTTAACCAAAAATAATTCTGATTATTATCTTCCCCCACTCAGACACTTTAATTAAATGTGCTTCTATTCCTTTCAATTAAAAGTTAGATTTGAGTGTGATCTCTACTTGCAATTTAATGCCAGACACAAAATGCCCAACTGTGGACAGCCATTAAAGTTAAAGACATTTTAAAAGTGCCTGCCAGTCAGGGAGGCAGCCAAGTACCACCACGGCCATTTTACAGAGATGGGGCTGAGCCCAGAATCACTCATTAGCATTTTAAATGAGGCAGATTATGCTTTTAGTGCCCTAGTACAGCTCAGGACAAGGCAAAGGGAGGACGAACAGCTGAGACAAAGGGGGACAGGCAAGAACGGGCAGCGGCTACCGGATCCAGCCATGTGATGGCTGTTCAAGAGACAGAGAGCAAGAGGGTATTGGGGAAGGTGTTCTGGGCTTTGACGGCACCAGCACCAGGTGAAGAGAGAGCTGCCTACAGGAAGATCAGGAAGAGACAGTCTGCAAATGGCTAACTGCCATCCAAGGCTTCACTGATCCCCAAGAAGGCAGGCACCTTGAATTTCACCAGGAAAAACACTGCTGCTCCTTAACAATGCCAAGGTCTGCGGCTGCAACAAAGGTCGCTTAAATGAATTCTTCTTTCATGTGAAAAGGAATTAAATGAGTATGACCTAGGCTCCTGGGCTGTTGGGGGGCAGCCTCTCCTTCTCCAGGGGTCTTCTCCAAGGTCCTCCTAGATTCACTGTGCTTCCAAGGCCTGCTATCCCTTCAGAGCCTGTCCGAGACAACTTTACTTTCCCTGAGGAGCTCCTTCCCTGTCCTTCTCAGCTCTTGTGAATACTAATGTCATAATTCCAGAGATGGGTTAGGTTGCCCTCTGTGCCAGGAGAAAAGAAGTGGACAGAGATGGCTAACCATGGCATCACTAATTCTGCCAGTTACCAAGGCAGGCAGAAGATGTGCTCGCTCTAATGACTTTCCACTGGAGACAGCTAGATATGGGGCACAGGGGCTTGGGACAGAAGACGTATTCTTGTAAATTAGGGGAGGAAAGGGCGCAGGCCCGAGAAGGCACAGGTGGGGAATGCTTCACAGAGGACACGTACATGTCTGATGACAAATGGAGGCTTGTCAGTGTCCTTTTTGAACTCATAGGGTCCCAGGTTGAGGTGAGCCAATCGCCGCCTGGTGTCTTCCGACAGCTCGCACATCCGCCTCTTGGTGTACGGGGACGGGGAGTGGGACTTGGATGAGATGGTGGGCTGCTCATAGTTCCGCGGGTTGGCGCAATACTTCTGTCTCTCGGGGGACCTGGACTTCTTCTTAGATGACCTCGTTGGCCCTCTGATTTGTATCCGACCATGGGTCCTTTCAAGAGGGGTGGTGGCATGGTATAACGGCTTATCCTGAGCCTGAAAAAGAAAATGGGGTTCACCTTGTGATGGTGATAGAGGATGGCAAAGAAAGCCCCAGGTGCAGGAATCCCTTCCCTCTCAGGAGCTTCGCCTTGTCATCCAGCCACTGGTGAACTGAGGTAGAATGTAGCCCTTGTTCAACTTAACGAAGCACCTGAGAGACACTCAAGCTGTCAAGTTCATAAGCCTACCGCCGGCCTGATGAGGAGGCTCTCTGAGACTCAGGGAGTACTCGAGAACCTTCTGGTCAGACCACTAATAAAGCACGGGCGAGCCCAGAGCCACATGAAGACATTAGTAGGGCTTGTTCAATGTTCTTTGTGGTTTCCTGGAAATGTTATCCCTCTCCACCCCACTCCCACTGGACAAGGAGTTCTTAACCTGGGACTGTGGGTAGATTTCAGGGAGTCTAGGAATTTAGAAGGGAAATAAATCCCATGTTTATTTTATTTTTACTAGCCTCTTTCTAAAATTTAGCATTTTCTTCTATTATCTTTAAAAACATGCATTCTGAGAAGGGGTCCACCAGAGGTTTCACCAGACTACCAAAGGCTCCATGGCACCAAAAAAATTAAGAGCTCCAGCTCTAGACTCTGAGGGCAGGGATTACTGTTTTTCCCATCTCTGGGCTCCCAGCATGGAGCCCAGGTCCCTACATATATGAGTTGGACCAAATTCAAAGTCACTTCTCCCTCTAGAGTTCAGCTCCTTCAACTGTAAAAGGAGGGCCTATGACCACAGGATGGATAAGGCTCCTCAGGGGAAAGAAAGGCAAGTCATTTACAGGAGCCCACATCAAGGCTTTACTTCACCCAAGTCAGCTGAACGTGGATCCTATTCCGACATCATCCCCTTCCAAGGTTTACAAAGCATTTTCCTGTGTCGTCCCAGAAGGTGCCCAGAGGTCAGCCTGGGGGAGCTCAGGCTGCACTGAAGGCCCTCTCACTGCTTCTCAAACCGGACATTCCGCCTAAGGCTCTGGGCTCTGGTCCGGGCTGGTCCCTATGCCCAAGATGTTCCCTCCTTCCTCCCCTCGGCCCCTGACAGACCCAGAGCTTGGCAGCTGCCAAAGCCTATGTCAATCCTTTCCCGTTCCCCTTCGTTGTAAGTGCTCCTAGCAGTGGATAAAGTGCTGGCTCTGGAATCAGGAAGACCTGAGTTCAAATCCAGCCTCAGATGATTCCTAGACCCTCTCTGTGCCTCGGTTAAACTGGGCAATGATAACTGACAATAATAACACCTACTGCCACAGAACGAGATGATACTTGTAAAGCACTTGCAAACCTCACATCTATGCTAGTTAGCTGTCAAAGACACTCGGCTGTCAAAGTGACCTTCCTAAAGCCTAGGTCTGATTACGTCACTTCCTCCAATGACTCCCTAACATCTCCTGAGTCGAATACAAAAATGCCTGTTTGACCTTCCCGGCCTGGCCTCCTCCTACCTTGGCAGCCTCCTGGCACCTCACTCTCTACCACCTACTCTTCAATCCAGTGACGCCGGCCTCCTGGCTGTTCCTCAAACAACACCCTCCATCTCCTTTTCTCTGGCTGTGCCCTCTGTCAGGAATGCTCTCTCTCATCTCTGCGTCTTAGCTTCCCTGGCTTCCTTCAAGCTTCAGCTAAAATCCCATCTTCCATGAGAAGCTTTTGGACTAAACCATCCCCAAGGTCACTTTCGGCTTCTCTAACTGTGTTCCCTACCTCACAGAGGTTCTGTGAAGAAAGCCCTTTCCAAACCTTGAAGCTCTAAGCATGGGCTCTCTTAACTTAGTCTTTCTCTGGGACAGCCTGCTAACTGCACAAGGTAGGATGACAATGGAGAAGATGCCCGCTTCCTCTTCCTCCTCCTCCTCCTCCTCCTTTTCCTCCTCATCTCAGCAGCCACCAGCTGATTCCTAAGAAAGGAGCCCCCCCTGTGACCTCCCACTGAGCAGCAAGCTTTTATTTCAATCTCATTTGATTAAATTGATCAAGTTGTCAGAAATCCACAAGAAATACCAGAAGTGGGAAGTGGGAAGTGGGCAAACCAGTAAGGGCGGGAGATCTGTCCATAGGAAGGGGAGCAGACACACAGACAGAGGCATGGAGCCACAGCAGCTTTTAAACTAAGAGCCATTACCTGGAAGCCCCGACACCTCCTTGAGCTGATCAGGCATTCTGTGATCACAGAGGTGGTAGAAAATTCCAGCTTTGGAGCAAGTCCCTGAGGAGACGAGAAAATAAAAGGTAATTTCTCAACAGGGGGCTCTTTACAAGATAAAGATATCAAAGCTACAAAATGCTGCCTAAATGTAAACTCCTTCCCTTTGTTCGCTTCAGCCTTTATTTGAGATCACTGGAAAAAGCAGAACTTTTCTATGTCAAAATGTCAGCCAGACCACACTGGCCCCGCTGAGTGCTTGATTACAGATGATTCCAGGACTTGGGGAAAACGATTAAAGGTCTGGTTTTTTCCAATTCAACACACCCTACTGCCATCCATTTTTAGTGTTTCCTTACAGCCAAGGATGTGAGGAGAGTGTCTGGGGAACTTCCGGCATTGAGGTTCAGACAGCTGGAGGACATCCCCAGCAGCCTACGATGGCCGCTGCCTGGTGCCGTCACCCCTAGCTGGCTGAGGTAGCACCTGACCCAGCAGAGGGGACCCCAGCCACAAAGGCTCCCCTCCCACCCATCCTAGAAGGCCCAGCTCCTAGGCTGCTTCCTCCAGGCAGCCAGCCCTGATGCCTCACACACACTTCCCATGTACAAGTTCACTTTTCATCTAATATTCTAAATGATGTGACATATTTATGTCTTGGCCCATAAGTATAATATAGGGACCCTGCCTTGTCAACACTCAGCATCTCCCACAAACACAATTATCCAGAGTACACTTATTTGGTGAATGGATGGCTACAGCCTCTTCCTCTAATCTTGGTGATGACCACTTTGGGTGTAGCTAATGGTTTTCAGTCACTGCCCAGCTTTCTCTTAGGCTGAGCTCCAATGCATCTTTCCAGCCTCATCACGTATGTATCCCCCCACAGGTATGCACTGTCCTCCCCCCGTCAAAACCTCCTCCTCCCAGCCTCCCAGAACTCCTGCCCAAGCTCCATGCTCAATATGGCCTCCCACCCACACTGCTCCCAGCACTTTGCCTGAACCCTCTCCTGGGCACATATGAAGTCAATGGTCAGTGGGCTCACTGCTGTTTCATAATTGTATAGGAAAGGAAACATGCTTCAGGCCTCAATAAGCTCAGCCCCCACAAACCCCATCTTTCCCTCAGACAGCAAAACAGTAAGTCTCCACAATAGAGCACCTAGGTGATACACTCAGAACCTGGGTTTGAATCACACCTCCAACACTTTGGCGACAATGGCATTTAACCTTCTCTGAGTTTCAGTTTCCAACTCTGAAAAATGTAGCTATTAATTCCATCAGTACCTAATTCTGGGGGTTAATGCTGATCACATGACACAATATATAGAAATATCAGCTATAATTAGAAAAAATAAAACATCTCTTATCCCGCCAGGACGTGAGATTTCATCAGAGTTCTTCCCTGCACACCTCTGTCCACAGTGAGACAAGAGTTCAGTACCCTCTTCCCCAACAAAAATCACCACGCTACAGGATGTTCTCATTGGAAGGGACCACAGAGATAGCGAGTTCTGCGGAAGGCTTCTACTCTCTGACTTCACCCTCTTTGTGTTCTCCCCACTCCTCAGCCACAGGGACCACAACGGCCATCTGATGCAGCACGGCAGACTCTCCATTACGTACTTATTCCCAGCAAGTGTCTGCCCAGCTTCTTCCCCACTTCCCAGCATGGCTCACTGCACTCTGGGAAAGCTCTAAGCTTTTCCTGATAACAAGCATAAATCTGCCACTTTGCAACTCTGATTCCATTGTTCATGGTTCATTCTCGTGGGGCTCTGCAGAACATGCCTAAGATATTCTCCATAAGACGGCTCTTCAAGTAGCTGATGACCGCCATGTTGTCCCTGCATCTTCTCCAAGTGAAACATGCCCAGCTCCTCCACCCAGTCCTCAGACATCAAGAGCTTGAGGCCCTTTCCCAGTCTCATTATCCATCTTTGGACACTTTCCAGCTTATTGATGTCCTTCTGAAATCATGGTGCCCAAAACCAAATGGAATACTCCAGTAGCACATGCACTGGAGCCCATTCTCCCAACCTTCCTAGGACTAGGTCAGGTCAGGTCCCATAATATCTTCTATTACTACTACTACTACTACTACTATACTACTACTACTACTACTACTAACTACTACTACTACTACAACTAGCACAGCCCTGGCTGCTGCTGCTGCTGTTTCTACTACTACTACTTTCCTTAGAATCTAGAGGTAATTCTGGGGGGAGGGGGTTACAGGATAGTTTTCTAGAACTATGGCTCACAATGATCATCAAGAGACATTAGCTTTTTCAAGCTGATATTTACTAGGCTCCCAAAATATGTACAGCTGGCACCAAACATTCCCCCAAAGGCCTTTAATCTCCCACTAACACCTCCAGAATCAGGGAAAGCAGGCTTCTGCTTAAAGCATGAGCCACAAAGGGATCCTCAGAACTCCCTGGCTGACCAAAGTCCTTTCCTCCTTTTATGTCATCCTCCTCCACCCCGATGTTTCCCTTGGGCACAGAGTAGCTGTCTGCTCTCCTCAACGCTTGTTGTGGGCCCCTGATGAAGAACCTGCCATCAGCTGTCTCAGGGACACTGTCAGGAGGCCACGTGGGGGTCCAAAATCTTCTCACCATGCTGAGGTCAAAAGGTGATCCTTGGGTCAAAGAGTTGGGGAGGAGCCAAAGGTTCTTCTCCCCATCCCCACATCCCCAAAGGATTCCCTCTTGGGGACTCGGCTAGAGTGCCTCCGCACTGAGCTAGCCCAGCCCTGGCATGTTCCACTCAAACTGGCTCACTGGGGTACCCAAAGACCCCTGGAGTATGACTAAGTCTCTTCAGCATCCCCTCCCCGCCCTTCACGTTCTCCAGCCATTGGAAGTGATGAGTGGCTGTCTGCACCTAGTTTAATGCCTTTTGTTAAGTGACTGTTTCAACCACAGGCAGGAAGCAGATAGGCAGCAGACATTTACTAAATGCTTCCTGTGTACCAGACATGGCCCTTCTGTGCTAAGTCTGGAGATACAGACACAAGTGGCACGAAGAATCTGAACCTGATAGAGTGTGGGGCTATGCAGGATCTCATCGGCTACATTCACGAGGAAGGACAACAGACCACCGCCCCTCCCTCCAGAGTCAGCCAGAGGGCAGGAGCTTTTTAAAACCCCTCCACCCTTTTTAGAAGGACTGCTGTCCAGCTATGCCTCCCTTATCCTCTTAGTGGAGCTGATGTTTTTGTACCTATTACTTTGGTTCTACAGAATTTCATCTTACTGCATCCGGCCAAGGTCCTTTTGGATGTGATCTGCCACTCGATGTGCCAGGTATGTGTGAGCCAATCAGCCGGCTGCCAAATCTCGCCGTTCTGCCTCTCCATCGCTCCATTGTCTCCACTCGCACAGTCGAGGCACAAGGTCAGGCCTTCGTAACAGGCTGCTTAGACGATCCGAGCAGCCTGCGACTCGTGTCCCCAGCCCAGGACGTCCTCCGGGGCGCTGCCGACCGCACCACTCCCCTACGGAGCCCCCTCCAGTGGCTCTCTGTCCGCTCGTCACAGCCTGGCTCACATTCTCTTTCGGGCCTCACTGGCCATCATTCCTCTCGCTGCACCAGCCTACTTGTCGCTCCACGCGTCCTATTCTCCATCTCCCGCCTGCACGCCTGTGCGCTAGCTGGAAACCTCCTCTCTCCCCGGGCACCCCTCTTTGCCCCCTTCCTCTCACCTGTGCCTCCGAGCACCTTCCACTCGACTGCCCTTCCTCCCAAACGATCTGGCGCTTGTCTGCACTTGTACCCTGTATTTATTCTGGGCTTAAGTTTGTACTTGTCGCCCTCGCCGGAATCTAAGCTCCTACAGAGCAAGGATCATTTCATTCTTTCCACCCGCACGGGCACCTCTTAGCGCACAGTAGGCGCACAATACATGTATCTTGTGGTGGCGGCTGCTGGTTGGCTACCTGAGTGAAAACGAGCCCACCATATAGAGCTGGCTCCAGCCCACCTGGGGCACAGGAGCGAGTCCATCACACCAGCTCTCCTGCCTCTCTCCAGAAGAAGACAAGCACACTTCCTTCAAGCACCAGGTTCCTCCCTGTCAGGGAGAAGGCCTGGTCTTGGGCCTCGGGAGAAGGGCAGTGACACTACTCCTTCAGCTTCGAGCACCTAGCCCCTCACCTGAACTGCATAAATCCCCGAGAGGACTCCACCCCGAGACCCAACACATGGGCAATGAAAACCGACCTGAACTCACTCCTCAACGATTAACAAACTTCCAACTGGTCTTATCTTCCTCGTACTGAAGATTCTGAACCCTCAGCCGTCAGTCAGACCTGTTCTTCATCTGCCAACCCTTATTCCTGCTCCTCTCTCCCCTCTGCCCCTCCGAGGTCCTACTCAAAAGCTAACCAGCCCCTTCCACTGTGCTGTATGCCTGGTCCATAGGTAACAAACTTTTCATCTTTAATCCTTTCATTTCTAATTCCATCTTCTGGCTCCCTCCCAATGTCACAGATTCTTGGATTTCCCTTTGCAGAACTTTCACTAATATACGCAACTCACTGATTGAGGTGGGGGGTGGGATTGCTCCTTGCTCCTCACTGCCATTTCCAGGTTTTCCCTCTATCCCATCACACAGGAACCTCTTCTCCTCTACGGTTCACTCAAGGATACTCGCCACCCAGTCCAAATTTTAGTAGCTGTTTACTACCAACTTCTAAGACACTCTGCTTCTTTCTTTAATGAACTCAGTGCCTGGCTCACAGCCTTTCTCTCCTCCCCAACTCCTGCCATCATACTAGGGGACTTTAACACACATACTCATACTCCCTCAAACAGCCTAACCTCCCATTTCATCAGCATCCATTTTCAATGAATTTCCACTCCACCGCAGCCACGCAGAGATGGTCGCACACTTGATCTTGATATTACCCACAAATGCACCAACTCCACATTCGTGAACTCTGAAATTCCCTGAGTTCTTTCCCAGGCTATTACCCTCGCACTGGCTATACTCTCCTCTATTCCTCATCTTTGCCCCATTGGCCAACCAGTTGAATATACTGTGCTCCTCACTTG